ACTTTGTATTGCTTCTGGGGACGACTCGACCTCCAGTTCTAAACACATCTTCTTCTAGTATTCGGTCTATGTCATACGCGCCATCCATATCAGCCGGAATCATCGATTTCAGCGATGGGAACTTTTGGCTGGTGACACAAGGCAACAACTTTGACGCATGGAAGACCGGATACGTATGGAGGTGTGGTGGAATCTCCGTTGTATAGGATGGTCCGTCCTCTCCACCTTTGACTTCTAGAACAGGCCACGACCTCCTGTATGTGGGCAAGAGCTTTTGCGAGATGTTCTCCTCTAGTGCGAATTAGTTTGACTTGATCCAGACTAGATCGCCTACCTCAAACTGCAAGGACCTGCGATGCTTGTTCGCTTGCTCAATCATGCGATGCTGGGCCTTTCTAAGGTTTTCGATCAACGTGGCGACCTTCTTATTCTGCTGCAATGCAAATTCTCTTATACCGGGTGGTAGCCTTTGAATCTGATTCCGGTTCAGTCCTTCAAATGACCTACGTGGTCTAAAGGACTTGTGCAACTCATTAGGAGTGCGACATGTAGCTAGGTGTACACTATTGTTGTCATCGCTAGCTACCTTGGGAAGCATCTCGTCCTTGTTTTTTTGGTCAGGTCTGATATACATTCTGAGTAACCGTTGCAAGATCTTGTTCATTTGCTCTGTCTGGCCGTTTGTCTCTGGATGACGACCGAACGACATCAACAGCTTAGAGCCATAGACTTTCATGAGATCCTGCCAGTTTTGGCTGGTAAATCGCGTGTCCCGGTCACTAACTATCGACAATGATATGCCATGCTCACTTACCCAGAAGTCGAAGAACTTCTCTATTACTAATTCGGTTCGTGCCTCAACAAGCAAAGGCACAAAAACTGCATATTTGCTAAATCGGTTTGCTATGATCATGACTTGGCTTTCGCCATGCCTACTCCTGACTCCGATATCCATGAAATCAATGGAAACGGACTCTCCAGGTCCTGCGGGGATAGGCAAGGGTTTGAGGAGACCTAAGGTGCTCGTGTCATTGTCTTGTTGTGCGGGCAAACTTTACAACTGCGAATATACTCTATGCATGTATACGGCACCATGAGGTTGGCTAAAGTCTTTTGCCAGCCAAAGTGGCCTTCTGTATCATGGCATTCCCCTAGGATCAAACTTCGAATTTCTTCATTGTTGGGGACCCATAGTCTGTCAACGACATTGGTCTACTCAAAGCGCAACCCGTTCGTGGTCCGATACTTTGACTCACTCTCAGGTGTTTCTTTTACTCTTGAGTAGGTCGCTATAGATCGGATCTTGAACATATGCATGCTTTATCTTTTGTTGCAGGTCCACCCCTATGTCTAGATAGTGCACTATCGCTCCAAAATAATCTGCCTTTCTGCTCAAAGCGTCGACTACCACGCTGTACTTGACTTTAATGAGCTTAAAGTTAAAATCGTCTATCTCGGCTTCCCACCTAGTCAACTTGGGCATCATCTTGGCTTGCTTCTTCAGCCATCTCATAGTTCCATGATCAGAGTAGACTTTGAAGTGCCTCCCAAGAAGGTAATGCCTCTAATGGTCTAAGGCTTGCCTAAGAGCGTAGTGTTTTCTTTGGAATGTTGAGGCTGCTAGTTTTTCTAAGGGCAACCTAGATGACATGAACTCTATAGGTCTATAGCTGTTGTCGTCGACTTGTTGTAATACAACACCTATGCCATACTGACTTGTGTTTGTAGTGACGACAAAAGGCAATGAAGGATCGACTACTTTGAGGACGAGGTACTCTACCAACGCCTTCTTCAGTTTCCTTAAGGCTGAGGTGCAATCTTGATCGCACTTCGAAATTGCTTCCTTCTTCAGGAGTCTGTGAAGGGGAGCAGTGATAGTGGAGATGTCCCTCACGAACTTCCTATAATAGTTGGCCAGCCCTAAGAACGATCGCAACTCAGTCAGAGTGTGAGGAGTTGGCCATTCTTTAATCGCTTTTATCTTGCCGTCCTCTGGTGGAATGTCGTCTCCATCGAATACGGGGCCCAAGTAAAGGACTTATGTCTTGGCCCACTCACACTTCTTCGCATTGATCTTGAAGTTAGCTCATTCAGCTTCTCCAAGATCTACCTCAAATGACCCTCATGTTCCTGGAGGGACTTGCTAGAGACTAAGGTATCATCTAAGTAAACTACAACAAACCTATCTAGCCACGACCTAAACAAGTCATTCAGACAGCGCTGGAATGTGGCTGGCGCGTTGGTTAGTTCAAAGGGCATCACTATGAACTCATAATGCCCGGATCTGGTACGAAACGCCGTCGTGTACTGATCATCAAGATGTACCTCTATTTGATGGTAACCTGACTTCAAATCAATCTTTGTGAAGTACTTGCAGCCTTGCACCCGATCTAAAAGATCATCTGTGGGTGGAAACAGTTATGCATTTTTTACGGTTATTGCGTTTAGACTCCTGTAGTCTATACACATTCTTAGCTTTCCCTCTTTCTTGGGGACAAACATAACAGGTTTAATCCACCCTTTTTCGAGGAGCTCGTCTGACTGCTTATGTAGCTCCTCCAATTCCTTGGGAGACATTTTGTACACTGCTCCCTTAGGCGTTCTACTGCTAGGCTCTATCTATATGCGGTGTTGAATGGGTCTTGGCACTACTCCTGAGGGTGCCTCCTATAAATCTTTGTACTCTTTCAGCAAAGTGACGATAGTGGGATGGATCTCTCTCTCCTACTTTGGCTGATTGGAAACTGGCTTAACATAAGCTACGAACACCTGTTCCTCAAGTTGCTCCTTTTTGATAAGTCTGGCGAATGCGGGAGCGTTGAGGCAGCAATGCGCCAGAGAGTTATCGACTCCTGACGTATGGAATAGGCGGGCTTTCTTGACCCCACCTGACGGACCAGGGAGCCTGCACTTGTGCTCTCGAAGGTGCAAAGTGGCCCCAACTGCCTCTCCCCAATCTGTTCCAACTTGCAAGTACTATGTCAAACGAGAGTATCTTCTACGAGTAGAGTCAAGGAATGGAGAACTTTCTCCACCTTCCCTTCTTGCTCTAGGCGACAGTACGCTTGGACTCCCTCTACGTATTCCTCGACCCGCATTGTGTCGTTGTCTGCGAGGATGCCAACTTTTGGACCTTGAGGCCTAGCCTCAACTTCTCCAGCGCCTTGCGACTGATGTGACTTTTGGTGGCCCCACTGTCTATAAGGGCTCCTACCATAGCTCTGAAAATATGTACGTCTGCTAATAGGAGCTGCCCCTTTCAATCCTTCTTTATCTTGGCCCAGGCCTGCCTCCTCTCCTTCAATTCTTCAACCAAGCTTGTGAGGGAAGCGCCTAGAGAGCCTCTAACACAAGCAATCTTTGGGCAGCTAGCTAGGCGCCGGCCAGCAACCTCTGCCATAGAGACATGCGGAGTGGGAGTTTCTATCTTGCTCGCGCCCTCATCTCCACGTGCTCTTGAGGTAGGGGCAGTTGCTACACCTACCGGCGGTTGCCTTTTGCTGCCCCAGATGCAGCACAATTTCTGTACTTGGCAGAATTTGATGATATGCCCGGGGCCACCACAAAACACGCATTGATACTTGTCTATGTGGTCCTGCCAGACGTTCTGGTCTACACCCAGGTTCTCCAAGGGCCACCCTTCCGGCCGCCTCGGGTGCCTCGCACCCCTTCTGGGAGGTCATCGACCGGAACTAGGGCGGTTAAACGGGGGTCCTTGACCCCTTCCTCCCGCTTGGCGGTCCTTGTTGTCACCCACTGTTACATGCACAGATATGCAATGTACGTAATAAACCGAGAATCTGCAATGTGATGAAAAGGACTGAATCGACAATGGGGTATGAGTAGAATCTCGACAAGCAATGTACATTCTCATTCATTCATAAAGATGCTGAAGAGCGCAGGGAAGACTTTGATACAAAGACTGACCTAACAGGACTAACCTCATTCACGTAGTTCAGAGTAACGAAACAGAAATGCTAGAGTACCTCTAACTAGCCCAATCAATGTTTGAACTCAGACTAAACATGCATTGTATCCATCACTCAGTGTGAAGGAGCCTGGCGCTGTAACACACGAAGTAAGCGCCAGGTCCAGACATACACAGACGAAGAGATTAGGATCAGACGAAAAGGAGGGAGAAGGATGGGAATGTCGTTAACACCAAGTCTTGGTCACCAATCCCAAATAGTCCCTCGTTGCCATGTCTGAATCCCCAAAAAGTCGAGTCTGGATCATATGTCACCAAACCCGGTATCTCTTCTCTCGTAGTCTGCAACTGCAGGGAAGTTAGAAGTTGAGAGGGTAAGAAGAAGATGGGGGACTGAGAAGAGGAAGAAGAGAACTCTCTCTCTCCCACTGTTACGAACCAGGTATTAACCTGTGGTGTTGGCGCTGTGCTGCAGGTACCTCGAAGACGGAGCTGGAGCAACGGCGCTGCAGGTAAGTGATCCCTGGCCTCCGCCCATCATCTCTACCACTACCTAGCTATGGCGCCCAGCGCCGAAGACTACAGCTACCTACTGCGCCCAGCGCTGGAGACTACTAGCTAACGCTACTCTACTACAACACAGCGCTCCCTCCAGAGTGCTGCTCCTGAATCCTGAAGACTACATCTGCCGAACTGCCTACCCGTGAAGTGGCTGGGAAGTCCCTAAGTACTTCCTCGGCCTGCCTCCTGACTGCAGGAGGGCGAGCAGGCCGAGGACGCAGCTCTTGCCAATGCCGAAGTGTGCCAGGGGATGGCGTGCAGCAGCCTGCTCGAGGCTGGCGTGGGAACAGTCTAAAGATAGGCTGTTCCCCAAAACCTTGGTTTGGTGCCTGAGTTTCAGGGCCGGTCGTTCTGATGAACGACCGAATATGGCCCTTGGGTTCAGGCTAAAAATGTTATTACCATTTTTAGTCTGAACCGTCGCAGGGGCTGTAGGCCCTTAAAGTCAGGCTTTCGGCCTGAACCGAAATGGGGCCTATAAGCCCTGAATTTCAGGCTTTCGGCCTGAAATCTAGGGTTTTGGCCTAAATCCAGTCAAGCCTGCAAAATGGTCGTCGAGCCTGCAAAATGGCCCGTGTGTGCACGCGCTGCATGTAACACCCCCCCCTCCTTATGAAGTCAAGCCGGGGCGAGGGCGAAGCCGTCGGTCTGAAGGTGGAACCTGGACGCGGGCGCGGCGTGGAGCTGAAGAATCCGGCTTGCCTTGCATCTTGCGTTCGTAGCGTGCGAGAACGTCTAGAGCTGTCGCTTGCAGTTCCGCACGGTTCAACCAACGATCAGCTCGATGAGTGCAGTAAGCAAAATGCACCAGATACTCAGTTGGCTTGTTGCCGTAGCGTCGCTGGGAGATGATGTCGCCGACCTCCTGAAAACCATCCATAGAAGGTGGATCCTGCATACATCTCCCGGGAAAATCATCATGTTCCGCAGGCGTGTACAGAGCCAATTTGGAACAATGAAAGACTGGGTAGACGGGCAAGTGGCTAGGCACCTGAATCGTGAAGGAAGGTCCCTCAGGTGTGTCTCCAGCGGGCTCGATGATCGGCCAAGGCCCCATCCATTTCGGAAGGAGCTTGCGAGAGATGTCCTGTTCAAGGCTGAATTCCGCTGCTGAAACCCAGACAAGGTCTCCGACGCAGAATGGACAAGGAAGACGCTGGCGATTTGCCTGTTGGCGCATGCGCTGTTGCGTCTTAGCCATCTGGTCGCGTGCCTTGACAAGATGCTCTTGCATCCGACGCAAGAAAAGAAGATGGTCGTCGCTCTCGGCCGTGCGTGGAGTAATCGTGTCCAACGGTGACGTGACCGGCGAGCCGTGCTCGAACTCGAAGGGCGATATCCCAATAGCCGGGTGGATGGAAGAGTTGTAGGCCAACTCAACGTCCGGCAGTCGCTCAACCCAGTCTTTCTGGTCAGGGCGGATGAGAGTGCGAAGGAGAACCTGTGCGGTCTGATGCGCCCTCTCCGTTTGGCCATTGGTCTGAGGGTGGCGAGCTGAACTGGGCTTGAGAGATGAGCCCCATCGCTTGATGAGCGCCAACCAAAAATCGGACATGAACCGAGTGTCGAGGTCGCAGACGATCTCCTTGGGGTAACCCTTGGTGCGAATCCAATCGNGGTCGCAGACGATCTCCTTGGGGTAACCCTTGGTGCGAATCCAATCGGCGTAAAGAACCTCGGCCAACTCCGGTGCCTTGGGATGATAGCGACAAGGCAAAAACATGGCGAACTTGGTGAGTCGGTCGACCACCGTGAGAATCCCATCCACTCCGGTCTTGTGCTTGGGGAACGGGCCGGTGATGTTCATCGCAATCGCTTCCCTTCGTCTCAACGGGACAGGCAATGGTCGTAACTCGCCGTATGGACGATGGTTGCGGGATTTGCAGCGTTGGCAAACCTCGCATGACTCGCAATAGCGCGTGACGTCGCCGAGAAGGCCGGGCCACCAAAATCGCTGGTGAAGTCGGCCAATTGTGCGATTGACTCCAAAATGTCCAGTGGTGGGAGCGTCGTGGAACTCGCCAAGAAGCAGTGTACGCAAGTGAGGATCACTCGGTACGCAAAGGTCCTTCCCCCGCGTGTGGACAAGCAAGTACCCCTCTTGGATCCGGTAGTGAGAAGGAGCCGGATTAGGAGAGGAGCAATTTGCGTACTTGTCGGGAAAATCAGGGTCGGCTTGGTAGCCGCGGATGAAGCTGTTCCGCAGGTCGTCGTCAGTCTCGAACGTCGAGTAGACTGCGGTACAATGATCCGGACGCCGTGAGAGAGCATCCGCAAAACGGTTCGACTTATCGGGAATGTGATCGGGAAAGAAGTCGAATTGGTCGATGAAAGTCATCCATCGAACGATGGTGCTGTTGACGGTGTCTTGGGTCTTGTAGAAGACCAACGGATTGTTGTCCGTTACCCATCGAAATTGGCTTCGACCAAGGAGGAAGTGCCGCCACCGCTTGAGCGCGTGGACGAATGATGAGCTCCTTCTTGCGTGCATCGTCAATGGAATGCACGAGGGGCACTTTCTTGCTAAAGTACTCGACCGGGTGCCAGTCCACACCATCATGTTGCTCGAGGGCTGCACCAATGCCATAGCCTGACGCATCCGTAGTGACACGCGTAGGCGCGAGCGGGTTGTAGATTCGCAAGACCTCCACAGACAATAGCCCGGCTTTGAGAGCGAAGAATGATCCTCGCGCCTCCTCTCCGAAGTCAAACGGTCGATCCTCGCACTGAAGCTTGTTCAAGTGGGCCGCGATCTTGGAGTAGCCTTTGATGAAACGCTGATAGTAGCCGGTAAGACCGAGGAACGAGCGGACATCCGTGACGTTCCGAGGCTCCGGCCACTCTTGGACGGCCTGAATCTTATCTGATAGCGGACTGATGCCCTCCGGTGTGACGAAATGGCCCAAGTATTCCAGCTCTTGCCGGACAAATTCACACTTGTCGCGGTTGGCCTTTTACTAGGCACGGCGGAGCGTCTCCAACACTCGTCGAAGATGTCCAAGATGATCCTCCAATGTCCAGCTGTAGACGAGAATATCGTCTAAGTAGACCAGCACGAACCAGTCCAACATTGCACGAAACTCATTGGTCATCGCTGCCTGGAACGTCGTCGGGGCGTTGGTGAGGCCAAAAGGCATGACCACCCACTCAAAATGCCCGTACCGCGTTTTGAATGCGGTTTTGTAGCGGTCGTTCGGCTGAATCGAGATTTGATGGTATCCTGATTTCAAATCCAACTTGGAAAAATACTTCGCACCGCCCAGCCGCTCGAGAAGATCGTCGATGCGAGGAAGAGGCCCCACATTCTTGACGGTTTGCGCGTTGAGCTTGCGGTAGTCGATGCACAATCGTAGATCCTTGTTCTTCTTCCTGACGAAGAGAACTGGTGCTCCATATGGGGAGCTACTCGGGCGGATCCAGCCCTTGGCCAACAAATCGTCGAGTTNTTGTTCTTCTTCCTGACGAAGAGAACTGGTGCTCCATATGGGGAGCTACTCGGGCGGATCCAGCCCTTGGCCAACAAATCGTCGAGTTGTGCGTGGAGTACCTCAAGCTCCTCCTCGCTCATCCGATAGATGCAACCTTTCGGCGGCATGGCACCGGCCTCAAGAATGATCTCGTGAGAGATCGGCCGACCCGGCACCACACCGGTAGGTGACTCGAAGATGTCGGCGAACTTGCCCAGCAACCGTACCACACGGGGGTCCGAAGACAAGTCCGTGGGTGAAGAGTCGGCTACCGCGACGGTCCGTAGGAAACATAGGTCGATTTCCTCGGGCTGCTCGTAAGCACAAGTCGCCCGGAATGATTTGGTCGTCACCACTTGGCACCTGATTGAAGAGTGCGATAGAGGAATAGTACACGCCACTTCCACGCCGAAGGCGTTGCGAACGCTAAGAGTCCGCCGATGGAAGTTGACCGTGTGATCCGCACTTGCAAGCCAAGGCATTCCCATAATGATGTCGAAGTCCGTGTCGAGAATATCGAATGTCACCGGTTCGCATGCATGAGGTGCGAAGTAGACCGGTACGGCCTCGATGTAACGGTCGAGTAGTTGCTGCGTCTTTCCATCCGCCAACTTGATCGCCGTCGAGTTTGCCTTTCTCCGAACTTGTGCGCCAAGGCCAGCTCTTTGCATAAAAGACTGGCTCATGAAGTTGCGAGTCGCGCCGCTATCCAGCAAAGCGCTGCAGGACGCTTGCCCAACCTGGATGCGGACATACATGAGCAGTGCATTGTTGTTATCGTACCGCTGCGTGCAAAACTCGCGGGTCACCTTGGTAACGTACGCCAGGATGTCCCCCACCGCGACTTCGTCATCCGTCGGCGAAGTTGGTGGTGCATAGAAGGAAAGGTAAGTGTGGAGATGAGCGCTAAGTGCTGCGCATTGCGGTCTCGGCAAAAAGCCTGTGGTCGGAAGAGGAAGCCATGCAAAGTCCTCAGACGTGAGCGGGTCCAATGCCTCTATATTGAACTCGCGCGCCGAATCCCGTGACGAACCACTTGAAGACGATATGTCGCTGTTGCCGGACGGAGAAGAAACCGCACACACTCCTTGTCCTTGAGTTTGAGTACCCAGCGTTGGAACGAGCCAGGCAGCATAGTCCTCAAAAGAAAATAGAAGCGGAGGACTGTCGACTTCCCCGTGCGCCTCGGAATGAAGGCTGGTCACTCGCGAAAAAACGAGTTCCGAAGGCGTCGAGAGTGTTGTCGCGTCACTCTCGGCGGTGCTCAGTTTCCCTGTCTGCCCTTGCCTTTCAATGGGCAAACCTGCGTTTGATGAAGATCGTTGTTGCACAAAGGCAATAGTGGAATCTCTCGCGCGCCTTGTATGCGGACTCGGAGATGCCGTACGGGGTCCATGGGCCTGTCTGAGCTGCTGCACCGGGCCCGGGCCTAGAAACGGTGTGTGTCTTCGGCTTGCCGCGCCCTCGGCCTCTGCCGGCGCGGCCACCTTCCCGGGCGGCTGCGAATMTGTCTCCTTCACTGGCAGACGCAGCCTCGCTGGTTTGGTCTAACGGCGCTGCCGCTGCGACCACGGCCACTCTTGGCCGATGCTGGTCCCTGCTCGAGCCTGACGCAGATGAACGGAGGTTCTTGGCCTCCTTGTTCGTAACGATGATCTGCGCAGCCTTGTCAAATAATTCCGCCGTCGTCGCCAAGGTGTCCTCGACATGCGTCAGGGCATTGCTCAATGTCGGACATGACCTTGAGATGAAGTAGTGGCGGATGGCCTTGAAACCCATCTGGATGTCTGGGACTGACGTCAAGCGTTGGTACTCGGCGATCCAGTCCGTACTCGGCAGCGTGCCTTGCTCGAAGACCATGAGCTTGTCCATGGCTTTGATCTCTGGCGGCTCCACTTGGAACTGCTTGTGCCACGCCGCCTTCAGATCATCCCAGGTGATCTTGGTGTGCAAGTCGTTAGCTACCACTCCGTACTTGGACAACAGGTTGTCCAACCAAGCCTGACACGCGCCCCCTGAGCGAGAGTATAAATAGGTGTGATGCTTGTGTTCCTTGACGTTGTGGAGCTGCAGCGTGAGCTCGAACTTGCGAAACCATGGAATTGGATCTGTCTTGATTGAGTCGTGGAAGATCTCCTGCCCATCGAACTTAGGAGCTGTCTCGCGCGGCTCCGGACTCGAGGTGGTGGTGGTAGTGCAGATCCGCTGCTGTAACTGTTGCGTCGCGGTCTGCTGTAACTGTGCGCCGTCCTGGAGGGAGCCGACGTGCATCTCCAATGCGGTGAGGCGGTCGGCAGTATTGGAAGAGCCTGCGTCGTCGGCGGCGACTGGTCGCTGCTCCACCCGCTGAAGGCAGTCTTGGAGATGAGCTACTGAGTTGTCGAGACCAAGGATCTTCGCCTGCTGTGTAATGCAGGTTGCCAGGAGATCCGTGAGATGCGAGAGGAGGAGCGCTATCTTGTTTGCGCTGTCCTCCAACTGGCTGTTCTCGGCCTCGCTTTGCCATTCTGCTGCCATGGTAAGTAACGCCCGCTCTCCGGTGAATATCTTCTCACGACGCTGTGTTCTTTCTTCATCGGCAGCCCTTGCTGCTGCCTCGTCGTGCTGGCGCTGTTGTTGCACGGCCAGCAGACGTGCCTGCTCGGCATCCTCTGCCCTTTTCTTGGCTGCTGCGGCAGCGTCATCTGCCCGCTTCTTTGTCTCGGTACTCCAGGCTAACATGCGGGCCTGATAGGCCTCGTCTGTTCCCCAAGCCTTCTGGTCCATGACTGCTGTCTGTGAACGCAACATCATAGACCAGACCGGTGCCTGCTGATGTGGTATCCCTTGCTGCTGACGTGGCAATGCTGACGTGTCCTGCTAACGAGTCCTGCTGACGTGGTCTGCTGACGTACTTACCTAGCTTGGTGACGTGTCCTGCTGACGTGGTCTGCTGATGTGGCCTGCTGACATGGCAACTTACCAATGCCGTCACAAGGGGTACCCGGAGACAACCAGGAACGGCAAGGCGAGAGATGGCAACAACATAGGTGGGGAGGGGTGGGTGGGATAATCGCCCAACTCACTCTTAGATAAGGAGCCACTAATCAAAATAGAAAAGTTTGAACTTTGCAAAAAAAAATTTCGAGAAAAAAAAAAAAAATCCCGATTTTTGCAAGTTCTGTAGGTCTCCCAACCTCCCTTGAAGTTCGAAATGATCACTGAAAGCAAAAGTTTTCGATTTTGAATTGTAACCGATTTATAGAACCACTGACAGAATCCAAGAAGTGCAAAAAAAGTCCGAACAGAAATGACTAGTGTTCGGATTTATTCCGATGGGAATATTCGCAGCTTAAAAAAAAAATAATACGTGCAGGAGGTATTTTCCGTACCGTTTTCTGAAAAACAAGTTTCAGAAAAGAAGATATTCCGAAGTTCTAAGTAACGGGAATGCAACAGAAAATCGAAACTTTCAAAAAGAAATATATTCCGGATTTTTTTTAACAACGAAATTTTGAATTTTCAGAAAGAAAAACGAAAATAGGAATTTTTAGATGTTGCGATATAGCGATTTTCCACAGCAGAATAGCGAGAAAAGAAAATCCGAGAAAAGAAAAAAACAATCGATTTTTTTTTTTTGGTAGTCAGGTCAAGATCGTGATTTTGGGTTCTAACTAGTATGTCCTAATCAAACAGAAAAGACTAACTAGCTTTTTGATCCCCGCACACGTGTCAGATCAGATCGTCCTGATTCACGTGCAAAAGCTGCGATACCAACTGTTACATGCACAGATATGCAATGTACGTAATAAACCGAGAATCTGCAATGTGATGAAAAGGACTGAATCGACAATGCGGTACGAGTAGAATCTCGACAAGCAATGTACATTCTCATTCATTCATAAAGATGTTGAAGAGCGCAAGGAAGACTTTGATACAAAGACTGACCTGACAGGACTGACCTCATTCACGTAGTTCAGAGTAACGAAACAGAAATGCTAGAGTACCTCTAACTAGCCCAATCAATGTTTGAACTCAGACTAAACATGCATTGTATCCATCACTCAGTGTGAAGGAGCCTGGCGCTGTAACACACGAAGTAAGCGCCAGGTCCAGACATACACAGACGAAGAGATTAGGATCAGACGAAAAGGAGGGAGAAGGATGGGAATGTCGTTAACACCAAGTCTTGGTCACCAATCCCAAATAGTCCCTCGTTGCCATGTCTGAATCCCCAAAAAGTCGAGTCTGGATCATATGTCACCAAACCCGGTATCTCTTCTCTCGTAGTCTGCAACTGCAGGGAAGTTAGAAGTTGAGAGGGTAAGAAGAAGATGGGGGACTGAGAAGAGGAAGAAGAGAACTCTCTCTCTCCCACTGTTACGAACCAGGTATTAACCTGTGGTGTTGGCGCTGTGCTGCAGGTACCTCGAAGACGGAGCTGGAGCAACGGCGCTGCAGGTAAGTGATCCCTGGCCTCCGCCCATCATCTCTACCACTACCTAGCTATGGCGCCCAGCGCCGAAGACTACAGCTACCTACTGCGCCCAGCGCTGGAGACTACTAGCTAACGCTACTCTACTACAACACAGCGCTCCCTCCAGAGTGCTGCTCCTGAATCCTGAAGACTACATCTGCCGAACTGCCTACCCGTGAAGTGGCTGGGAAGTCCCTAAGTACTTCCTCGGCCTGCCTCCTGACTGCAGGAGGGCGAGCAGGCCGAGGACGCAGCTCTTGCCAATGCCGAAGTGTGCCAGGGGCTGGCGTGCAGCAGCCTGCTCGAGGCTGGCGTGGGAACAGTCTAAAGATAGGCTGTTCCCCAAAACCCTGGTTCGGTGCCTGAGTTTCAGGGCCGGTCGTTCTGATGAACGACCGAATATGGCCCTTGGGTTCAGGCTAAAAATGCTATTACCATTTTTAGTCTGAACCGTCGTAGGGGCTGTAGGCCCTTAAAGTCAGGCTTTCGGCCTGAACCAAAATGGGGCCTATAAGCCCTGAATTTCAGGCTTTCGGCCTAAAATCCAGGGTTTTGGCCTGAACCCAGTCGGGCCTGCAAAATGGCCGTCGGGCCTGCAAAATGGTCGTCGGGCCTGCAAAATGGCCCGTGTGTGCACGCGCTGCATGTAACACCCACCCCCTGGTCGCCTTGTCCTCAACCACCTGAGGCCTGGCCATTCCTGCCTCGGCCTCGTCCTCGTCCTCGTCATTGCAGCCTCCCTCCACCCGCCACAACAACGTAAGAACCCCCCTTCCCTGTGGTATTGTCTTCTCCCTCTAACCTCCACTCTATGTCATTGTAGGGGATCTCTTCTGCACCACGTTCTTCCATGGTGAGAATTAGACTGTCCTTGGCCTAGACTTGGCCTGAGATGGTGCGTCCTTTCCACTTTTTTTGCCCTTTGCTAGATCCTTATGCCAGAAAGTGGTAACTGGCTTTCAGCTTGGGCGGCGAAAGCAACTTCCCTACTAAGGAGATCATAAGTCATTCCTGACTGTTGCTTCTTCTCAAAGAAATGCCCTTGCAATTGCTCGGGCAGCGTGCAGTAGAAGAGTTGGACGAGCTGCGCCTCGGTAACTCTATGTCTGGGCATGACGATAAGCTCGTCCATAGCGGCTTTCAGGGCATGTATACTCTTCCATTGCCGCTTACGAACCATCGGGAGTTTATCAAACGCCCTTATTCCACTAGTGAGATCCGTGAATCATTCTCGTATTGCAGCGAGAAAATTACTAAGGTGAGTGACGACGGAGTATTAGAGCATGTCGTTATCGCAGTGGGCGGCGTGTATGAGCGATGGTCGCTTTGTCTCTCAAAGCCTGAAAGGCTATCAAGACATGGTCCTCGAGAGCTACGTCCTGCAAATGCATGTAGGACTTAACATTAGCTTCTTAGTTATCAAAGTTTTCCCCCTTCTTCCCATTGTAGGGCTCTGGAAAATGGATTTTGAGCCGTTCACGGCGTGGGCACGATTCCTCCTCCTTGGGGCCCGCCATCTTGACACCTTCTATTGCGCAAATACAAAATTTCTCTATCCTACTTATTGCGGCGTGCATCTAATTTGTCAAACGGAGCATCATCTCTAGGCGAAATCTTGGAACCCTAGTCATATGGATTCCAGGGAAACATTATGTCCACAGAGGCTACGTGGCACCCTGGGCCGCGCGGCCTAGACCGCAGGCCCGCGGCCGAGGTCATGCGGCCGCACCACGGCCCAGTGGGGGCGCGCGCGGGAAATCAGCACGTGCGCGCGGGCGGCGCACGTCGGCTGCTAGCGGCCTGCATAAAAAAAGTTAAAAATTTTGAAAATTTTGGGGGGTTAATTTTGATAGGTAGAAAAAAAAATTAAAAAAAAAAATAAAAAATTCAATCAATCAATCAATCAATCATCCAAACCAATCATCAATTAATCACACACACACACACACACACACACACACACACACACACACACAATCAATCAATCAATCAATCAATCATGTAATGACCCGCCAAAAACACAGACTGAGGACACTGCTGATTTCTGGGATTTGCCGCTGGAATGAATGCCTTGCTGAAATTCCCGCATTCTGCTGTGATTTCCATGTCTGTGTCTGTGTGCGTGACTGCTGGCTTGCATGCCTGTCTGAGTGCTTGTCGGTTGAGTGTGTGTGTGTGACTCGCAAGGGTACTTGTTGGTTGCAAGGCCCCGCAGGGCCGGTACTTACCTGTGGCCGTGACTTTGAAGGGTTGTAGGGGGGAAAACACTCGAGTAGGGGGGGTAGGCCCGCGGCACTTAGAGCAGAGGGGAAAAAACACTCAAGTAGCAGGTAGGCCGGTACCACTGAAGTAGTGGTAGAAGTGTCGGGTACTGGAGGCCGAGCAGAAGAAGACAAAAAGTTGGCATTTTTAGAGGCCCAGTAGCAGTAGGTTAGAGGTAGGCCGGTTCAGTCCAAGTAGCCCGGGTCTAGGGCCTGTCCGGAGGTTAGCAGAGCCTGCAATGATGTTTCCCTCCGAAACGGAGGAGGTACAGGTTGCTGGGAGGCCGCTCGGCCTAGGAAGTCACTGCCCAGGAGGCCAGTTGGCCGCTATATCTTTCGGAGGAGCAAGTAGCAGCTCCTCCTCATTTGCGGTGTGCAAGGATTGGCGACATGCTGCTGGAGCACAGCGCTGGACTAGTACAGCGCTGCTTGGAGGTGAAGAGCAGCTTGAGCTCAGCCTGGCTATGGCGAGCAGTCCAGCTTGAGGAGGAGGAAGAAGGGGGCGAAGGAGAAGAGTGGCGAGGCACTTACCTGGCTATGGTAGACACCATCTTCATCACCTTGTTGGGCGCTGCATCTGGAAGGCCCCAGTTGGGGTAGTGCTGCACCAAGGAAGCTCGAGGCAGAGTCAGGCATGGCGGACTAGTCAGCAGCGGCATAGCTGCTTTCGGTTGTCCTTTGGACATCAGCGCAGCACCATAGCTGCTTTGGGTTGTCCTTTGGACATCAGGGCAAGGCCCTCATTAGTCCGCCATATCCTATGCATGGCCTATGCATGAGAGAGGAGGCTGAAGGAGGGAAGCCATAGCTATGGTGGACGTTGTTGTTGATGTTGTTGTTGTTGTTGAGTTGAGTCAGCAGTAAGATGGAACTTCGGATATTGATTCTGGTTCATCCATTCATTGTTATTATTATTATTGAGAGAAGAACAAGATTGGCGAAGTGAAGGAGGAGGAGGAAGGTGGAGAGAGAAGGGGGAAATTGTCATTGGTCTTGCTGGTGCATATCTTCTTCTTCTTCTTCTTCTTCTTCTTCTTCTTCTTCTTTCTCTCTCCTCTGGTCTTTATCTCTTTGCAAGTGCTTTCATTTCTTTCGCAATTGGGTGGCATTTTCTTTCATTGTGAATTTGCACTTGG